TTGCTGCACTGATAGAGTACCATCTTTTGGTGGAGGCAGTGTGATGGTGTGGGGGCAATCTCAATGCAGAGAGATATCGAGATAACATTCTGAAATCAGTGGCATCCCCGAATCTCAACAGTCTGGGATCAAACTCCTCCTCCAAGAGGACAACGCTCGCCCCCACAGAGCGAGGATTATCAGACACTTCCTCGAGAGTTTGCGACTGGAGAGGATGGAATGGCCCCCTGCCACCACGTTGGCTGACAGATGACAAATGTTGGTTGAAGAATGGGATGCCATCCCACAGCAGTGTGTGAGCCGGCTGGTGACCAGCATGAGGAGGAGAGGCTGTTGTGGCTGTGTTTGGTTCTTCAACACGCTACTGAGGCTCCTGGTTAAATGAATACATTGTTCATAAATAAATTGTTGCCAATATGTCTTGATTCATCAGACTTTAATCATCCAATCCACCAAACAAGAGTCAACAGAAAAAAAAGCTGTTTGGCATTGGCAGAAGAGATTTGTCCCATACTCACATACTCAGCTGCTCATCCCACAAATGTTCCTCATAAATGTGGCACCATGGTAAATAAACAGGCTTTGCAACGTTATAAGATGTATTGTGAAGAAGCATTGTTACAACAAAGAAATAATCTACTAAACACAGATTTCCTTACTTTTTGTGTTACGTTTATTTAAGTCGGGAACATCCACACGAATGGATTCAGCTCGGTCAAATCTACACCTCAAGTTTCATTTGGATTGTTTGCAGATCATCAAGAGACCGAGCACTCACAACAGGTTATTTAAATGGAAATGCAAACAATCTTTAAAAACAGTAGAGAAGATTACCATAAGATTCAAAAACTCAAGATTATAAAAGGCATAATATCTTACTGTTTTGCTAAAACACATGTAAAAGTATTAATAATATGTTTGGCTGTAATCATTAGATACCAACTAAATGTAAAACTTTAAAATGGCTAAACTACACTACATGATTAAAGTGCTTATATGGTTAAGATTTAATATTCAAGGCATGAATTATTAGCAAAGTGAACTAAGTGCTACGTAAAAATGTTTTATTTGATTTTGTTCTTATTCTCCTCCTCCCAAAGCTTTTATAGCAGGCATACTGAGGAACACAATGCCTATTTGCTGTTTTATGACCTTTTAAGTGTCACACTATTATTTCCTGTTGATGACAACAATCTAAGAGAAGCAACTCTGGAAACCAAATATTGTAAAATACAGACACAGATTATTTTCTTGAATTTGAAGAGGATCTTAGAGCCAGTGTTTCCCTCCGGTTCCTCTGCAGTTGAAATGCATTATGGTTATTGCAGATTTTGTCTGAAGGCTGATGGAGCTAAAATGAAACCATATTTATAAAGCTGGTACAACAACAACTCTTCAGTCTGTTACTGCCGTCGTTCAGTCGTTTTTTGTTGAAATGGGAATGTTCAAGCCGATGCTCTGGGGCGTTTGAGATGCAGCCATGTCTGCTGTGACACACACAGTCCTGAGGCGGGGGTGGACACCTCGAATCAGGCTGGCGGTGTTTGTGATCAGTCTTCCCGTCTGCTCTCAGTCCAAATGTTTCTCAGCGCACAGGATCTGACAGTACATCAGCATGGAGAAAACCAGGGCCAGGATCTGAGAGAGGAGAGTTCAAACCTGTTATAGATCCCGTTCACTGAGGTCACCAACAGACAAGACGTGTTGTCCCCACGGCAACTCTAACAACATGACAGTGGGATAAAGTGAAGCCAAATCACAGGCTACTGCCGTTCTGCATTTTTCTGTTTTGAGAATCAGTTTCCTGTAAATAAAATCTACAATTTTTGTTTAACCCTGGAATGAAGAGGATTTGGGGGTATTTTCCAGCTCTGAGAAGTGTCTTTAAAGATGTGGAGGGGAAAAGAGCTCACACAGGTTTATAGGTCTTCACTGACACATTCTACATGGTATAGTTTGCCATATTTAAATGATGTTAAACATGTAACAAAATCTTCCTTCAAAACGTGGCAATGTGTAATGTTGCTATTTATTTATTTATTAACAAAGCAAACTCTGTAACTTGTGCAGAATCTGAGCTGTGCTGTGACTGGAGTATATCCCATTCCTTTAACGTACATATAGAGATCATGAGTAAACATGTGTACTCATTATAAGTACCTGCACAACACCGATACATACTCCAAACACCAGGACGGAGGGAATGTTATCCAGCAGCCACTGCCGGGCCTTCTGGTAGCACGGCTGCAACGAGAGACCGGAAACACAAGAAATATAATAAGATTAATAAAGAAGAGGTATAGAGACAAATTAAAAATAATAATTACAACTAATCTTAGAAATCATAAAGCCTCACTGTGAGACTCAGTCCGGTAGCTGTACATGGAGAGCACAGATAATAATGCTGATAGAGTTCCATAACAGACACATACTAAATGACAGAAAACACACTGGGGTAGACCGCCTCAGACGCTGAAGTACAGAGTTTTTCAGATAAGTATAACAACTTTTGTCATATTCTCTGGCCTTCATTCCTTTAACCAAACATTTTAGACTGCGTTGGACGTGGCACAGCTGTAACTTCTGTAAACACAGCAACAATGCTTGAGTCCTTTGGAAGATAAAACATACATGATCAACAGTAAAAAGTTGGCGCCTCAACGTTGACCTTATTAAAATAAACTCCTAACTCCTAACTGGAGTTGTGACTGTTCTTGGATGAGTCATTATCCCGGCAATTTGTCAATGAGAACAATCCTATCAAAACCAAACAGCCAAAAATATGAACACAGAAACAAAGTATAGAAAACTGCTTTGAACTGCTTGTAACGGTGGGGTCAATGATGGAATATAGAGTCATAATAAGACTAACAAACACACTGTTCCTCTGTCCTGCAGCGTACAACACATTTAATCTTTCTGGTTGTCTCAAACGGAATGTGGATTTCTTCCAGATGCGTGACGGTGTCTGAAACGTTCCCTCATGAAGAATGCAAGGATCATATTGAGAAGTTTTTTTAAATAATCAACATGCACTTCTGTAAAGCTAAAATCAACATCATGGCTGTAGGGGCAAAACATTTTAAATGTGCATGAGCCACTTTGTCTCTGTCCTTGCTGCTTATCTGCTGGTTCTGGGTTTTGTTGAACATTTAACTTTGAAGAGTTCATACAGAACATTTGGAAGATTTTTACGAAACAAAATCGTATTGTGTTTTATTTGTGTACACATTAAGATAAAAATAAGAACCTAAGCGTCAGTGAAGCAATGGTTAAGGAGCCACTCTGAGCTGCTGATGCTCATATGACAGAATACATCATTAATACAGCATCATACTCTTAAACCAACCACTATTAGTGTTTCATTTGAATCCGCTGATATCTGTACTGCACCTAAATATTCATAAAATGGATATCGGCCTTGATTTGAGGCCCGACCCACTGGTACCTGGAGGATACTCATCGATGGAGTCTGGATGCTCTGTGAATAATAATAATTAAGACCCCTTTCATGACCCCCAAGGACACCGTTCAATTAGTTAACTATTCAAAGAGGTAAAAGCAACAGAACATGATAAAAACACAAACATACCATCATGGAGAAGACAATTAAAGTAGACACAAATGATAGGGACAGGTTATTCAGGGGAATAAAGCAATACACTAGCTGAAGATCATAAAAAGACACAGGACACTGTTAACAAGAGAGTATTACTCCCACATTTCAGGCGTTGTTGCAACTATATTCAGAAAAAACCTGTTTTTACCAGTTAAGACGTGACACCGCTGGTTATGTAACGGTATGATCAAACATTAGCTAAGCACACAGGGTTGTTTCCTAATGTTTCATCATTAGTTGCACGTTGTGATGCGGCTCTTACCTCAACCTGGCACCC